ATGTCCCACCCACCCCCATTTGAACTCCTAAAAACAAGTTTGGCAGTGTAAGGCACTATGGTAAACTTGGATTTATTTACCACCCACCCTCGCCCCCGGGTGCAAGTTGTATGGATTTTTTGCAAAACTTACGGATTTTTGAGGCTTTTTATACAGATAAATGTCCGAAGAGGTTGACTTGAATGGGACAAAAAATACAGACTTGTTGTTATTGACTTTGTCAACACAAACCGCTACCTGAGAGGCACTACTAGCCCCTCCCCCATCAGAGTGTCAGAGCAGGACGAGTCAGTGCAACGTCATTCAAATTAGAGAGTGGGTGGGGGCATTTTCTGTAATTACTTTTTTCTTCTACAGTTCGAAGCCCCCTCCAGCAGATGGCGGTCTACACGACCGCCTAGTTCGCCTATGCCAAGAGCCGGCTCTGGTCTCCAAGCTTCCAACCACACATGAACCACGCTCAGCTGTGCAGTTCTTCGATGGTTCCGGGTAGAAGCAGCATGCTTACACGTTTGATGTCAGCCGGTTGGGAAAAAACAGATGCTCCCAGTTGATCAGCGCGACAGAGGAAAGGCAAACCTTCTCCTTGGGAAAGGCAGCAAAACTGGCTTTGCTACAAGCTGTCTGCCCACGGTTACACAAGTAATTATATTAAAAAAACATTGTGGCAATAAATAAATAAATAAATAAAAGACAAAATGGTAAAACCACAACTGCTTTTTATTTTTTAACACAATAGCGCTGAGGACATCTGCCCATAATCACACAAACACACACACAGCGAGGGACACCTGAGGAAATGTTCCAGCAGCTTTTATTTTATGTTATTTGTTAAAATGATTTTTTGTCTGATGTTTGTCAGTTGTTAAAAGAGCTAGATCAGCAGCTGGTTTAATCATACTGAAGATCAGCTGATGTTCACATCTTTTTTCAGTAACCACCGTTGACAGAAGAATAAAAGTTTACACAACACTGATGAGTAAAATACAAACACAATCCAGCCATAATTATTGTTTTTTTTACATACTTGGGCCTATATGAACTTTCAGAAGGTAGAAGGAGAAATTATAATAATTTATGACACGCTGCATCTTCAACAACCAACCCGCTGTCTCACGTCGTATTGAAGCACGGCGCAGTTTATATTCATGCTTTTACTTTGAAGTGAACACAGTTTCCTTTACTTCGTCCCAGAACACATCGCTTCAGTTCTCCAATAAACAGTTTAAAATTACTAATATATTGCACGCTTTCTTACCGAAGCCCTACCATAAACGTAACAAAATGACCATGAAGCAGCAGAACTTGCAATCCACAACAACTTTTTATTTTAACACCATGAGTCAAAAAAGTCTGTTACTATAAATCAATTCCTCAAACCAGGATGAATAGTGTCATCGTTTGAAAGCAATTTGTCAAGCTGTTAGTTGGCAGTATTGAGTAAGAATGGTTCATGTTTTCACTGGAAACACAAACTCTGGTGAACTGAGACAAAGTTGTGTTTTTGTTAATCTTCTGCTAAAATTCCTGTCATGTGTGCTTTAGAACTTGCAGAACTAAATTATTTAACTAGTGCTTTAGAATTTGCACAACCAACTTTGGAATTAGTGCTGCCCACCACTGGGTATAGCCTTTATTGTCCCATTGAGGGGTAATTCGTGTATAAGTGTTAAATAATTCTTAGTTACAAACTGTGACTAAAAGTCATTTATCAAGCATCTCAGTCTCGCTTAAAGCAAAGTGTATGAGTAACCCTTAAGTGTCAGTCTTAGAGCTGATTTATGACACTTTGCTTTGCCGCAAAGCTGATCCTGGATGACATTAGAAAAACCCCGGCATGGACCAATCACTGCCTCGGATTTCATGTTCAAGAAGATAATGAGAAATGTCAAGATAAGACTGTGAAAATCCCAAGATAAGTTTACATTCAACACACTTGTGTTCATACATGTCATGTTGTGCTGATTGTCTGTAAATTACACAAAATGTCCTCATTTGCATCATAAATACAGAGGTAAAGAAAATTTCACGTATTTCTTAAAATCTCAGCTTAAAATTGTTTACATCTCAAGAGCCTTAGAAAATATTGAGCTTGTACCCTCTTCCTCCTCTCCACTAAACTGCCCACAGAGACAACACCCCATTCACACACACCTGCACACCTACTTTGTCTATCTTTGTGGGGACTTTCCATTGACTTCCATTTATTTGTTGGAAATTTTATAACCTAACCCTGACCATTTACCCTAAAATTAACGTCACAGGTACCTGACCCTAAAACTAACCTAAACTCTTTTCACACCTTGGTCCCAAACNGCTTAATGCTGACGTCCGGAGGATATCAAGAAGATATGAAAAATGGACAGTGTCAAGGTGATACAGAAATAAGTATTCCACAACAGTCCTAAACCCAACATCCCCCACCCAAAATTAGCCTCTGAAGTCATGGGGACCGGGCTTTGGTCCCCACAAAGA